ATGACCGGAGCCGAAACCAAGACCTGGATGCATAACCGACTGAGCCACCCAGGCGTCCCACATGGTCTTAGTCTTGATGGTGGCTGAGCACTGGGGAGGGGGCACCCCATCAGTTGGGGGCAGAGGCAAAATGGGCAGAAAGAGGCAGGTCATGTGGGCACAGTTGGCTAATACAAGTGGGGACGTGATTTCCACAGTAGCGTCACAAATAGGATGAGAAGTTTGTGGAGTTCACACTGGGAAAGGGGTTTTGCTTTCGGATCCAAACTAGAGTGCAGGGGCGCCTGGGTGGCTCAGTCGGTTAAGCGTCCGACTTCGGCTCAGGTCACGATCTCGCGGTTCGTGAGTTCAAGCCCCGCGTCCGGCTCTGTGCTGACAGCTCGGAGCCTGGAGCCTGCTTCGGATTCTGTGTCTCCCTCTCTCTCTGCCCCTCCCCTGCTCGCGCTCTGTCTCTGTCTCTCAAAAACAAATACACATTAAAAAAATTTAAAAAACCAAAACTAGTCCACAGCAGGAGCTCTGCCCCAGCGGGGGTAAAGGATGACGGGAGCACCGTGTCTTCCTGTTCGAATCCAGGAGGGTCCAGCAGAGGGCAGCAGGTGGACAGGAGGGACAGCTGTCTGAAACGAGGGTGTGTGTGTGAGTCCAAAGGCCAGGCGCTATGGTGCCCTCAGGAAGGGTCACACTCGAGCTGTTGGTGGCCAGTCACCCATCAGGAGACGGTGGCAGGATGAGGGCTGTACTCTGGGGTGGCCAGTTGGACCAGAAAGCCTAAAAGACACGGCCCCTTGGCCCCACTCAAAGCTGGGGTCTGTGGAAACAGAGAAAGGGACTCACTCTATCGGAACCTCAAATCCCACAGAGCTCCTCCTTCCAGGGCTTGGGGCCAGGACACCTGGCTGACCAGGGGCACATTATGCCATCTCTGTCCCCTCCCTCCTGCCTGGAGCCGCTTAACACGCAGAACCCAGGGCAGAGCATCTCCCAGCGGGTCCGGTTCCCCTCCCTTTCCCAGGGAG